AATAAGGTATATCTCAACATAACAAAAAATACTTCACAAGAACTGTCACAGGAGACAATGATGGTCAACTAATTAAATACTGGACGTAAAAAATACTGGTAAAGGAAGACAAAACTAGGAAAAAAAAACAATTATGATACAAATATATATATCTGCACCAGTATTAATAAAGCACTCAAATGTTCCAATATTTTTGCACCACATTAAATACATGTGACTATGTCAATAAAAGTTTAACAGACATTTCTATGATAACAATTTGAAACCTGCAGTCAATCCCATCAGTACAAAAATTGATATAGAGCAAAAGTATATAAAGTTTTAAAGTAAAATTAAAATCATTAATTCAAAGAGGACTCTTGAAATAAAGATGCTAGAGTTTGAACCTTGTCATGTATGATGTGAGTAATGACAAAGACCAATTATCTTAAGTCTAGAATAGATACCATTTATAATAAAAATATAACAATTTTCAAATAATTCCAAGTTTGGAGATAATTCTGGAAAAACGGGAGCAAGACGTATAAATCTTAATACATATGACAAAGATGTTGATAACAAACATATGTTTGAAGTCTTAAGTAAATCCCTGAAGAAATAAAGAAGTTACGGCAAAATTAACTTCAAGAGGAAGATAATTTGGAAAACATTGACACAAGAGATATGAACCATGTCATATTATCATTTAATACATGTATAATATAAACATTAAGAAAAGTTAAAGGAAAAATTTACAATTTTTATAATTATACAAAGTCCAAGTTCAAGGGGTGAATAATTCTGGAATTATTCAAGCTAGAGTTAGAATCATGTCACAAATGATTAATAAAACACAAATATTTGAATTTTGAAGAAGACATCTTAAGAAATGAAGAAGTTATAGTTAAAAATTACATTTTTATAAACATAGATTAAGTTCAGGGGGCTACGTTACAATAGAAACTGTCAAACTATAATGTTGTTTACCTATTTACTTGTAGTTAATGCAATATGCAATTTGTCTGCGGTGTCAAGACATATGAATACATGTAGTCACAAATTTGATAGATGTAATTTTACAGATTCCTCATCTCCACAAATGTTGCCTTGCTCTTTAATTTGAATGCTCTTAATTTCAATGCCTTTTATTTATGCCCATAGATATCACTGTTAATAATTCAGACCATTTTAATAAAGAAACGTTCTGGATACATACACAATAAAATCTGTTCAAACAATCTTTGAAGATGATCTAACAAATTTTGACAAAAAAACAAATGCCAAACGTTTTCCTTTTCATGGACATAGAGTTCTTTTTTCTTTTTTCCCCCTCCTCATGGGCATGTGGGGGTCGAGGGCATCCCCCTCCATACTTTACAAAGATTTTCATTAATCATATATATATATATATATATATATATATATATATATATATATATATATATATATATATATATATATATATATATATATATAATATATATATATATATATAATATATATATATATATATTTTATACACATGTATCAAATATTTTTTGATTAAGTAACAATTATTGTCATTGAGTATTTATCACAACTCCAGATTTCCACAATATATACACATGTACATACACAACATAATATACAAACAAAATCACAAGGGAAATAAAAGAAGAGAAAAAAGGAAAGGTAGCTCATACATTGAACAGAGACAAAGAGTTCTGCAGGAGAACAAAATTCTTCAAAGAAATCTTAGGATTATTCCTTTGAAGTTTTCATGTCATTGACCAATAGGTTTAGAAAGAGTAATTATTTCAAAAGTCTGGAAGAACAAACATACAGATGCTTTTTCTATACATAAATTTGTAATTGTTTAGTTAACACTATTTTTTTTTAGGTATTTTTATCAGTTTCTATCTCAAATCAATATATACATTTAAACAACAAACTCTGATTATTATTTACACCCAAAACAAAGAATTTTGATGATTATTTACACCCAAAACAAACACACGTCATTTATTAACCACTTATACGAAATATCTTTTCACGTATACGTCTTTTACAGGAGCAGTAGTCCAGTGGTAGGACGCGCGCTTATGGATCGAGAGGTCCCGGGTTCGAACCCCACTAGGGGCACTGCTAATTTCCTTGAGCAAGAAATTTACCTGCGATTGCTTCACTTCACCCAGGTGTAAATGGGTACCTGCGAGGGTGGTATAAATCCGTTGCGCCAAAGTGTCGGCTGCACTAAGCGGAGTTAAAAGACTCCCCAGGGAGATTGATAGATAGATACCAGTAGCCCGATGACCAGGGGTAATAGCTGTAAAGTCGGTGAACGTGCGTAAGCATGAAACTTAGACTATAAAATGCAATTACTTAATTACTTTATACAAAACAATACTTGGCACCTGGCGAGCCCAAGCTCTAAACAACTTATGATCAAACAAAACAATAAAATCACCACAAAATGAAGAACACAGAAATTACTATTTTTACAACTCTAAGATACAGTAATAACCACAAACATTCATCCAACAATATTAACTTCACACAATCTAATCAGCATCAGAAAAGCAAACTAAAGCACCCAATATTTACATATATCCTCAAAACAAAGCATCAACTAATATAATCTTGACCGGACAAACATTCAACCAATATCAACCAATTATATCTTCACAAACAGATATAACTCAACAACCAAAACAACTAATTACAACCAATAAACCCTGATCAATTAAGATCACCACAATAACATTCAACCAACTTCAACAAATTAACAAAAGTCCCTTTTAAACAACAAATTATCTTCTCAACAAAAAAATAACCGCTACACACTATCAGCGTGTCTCTCCTAACTGATGTATTTATTTTTAAACCGATTTGACTTTTAAACATGTATACAGACAGCGACTGGTTTAAACATGATATTTACACTCTATTTAAAACAATGTATCACTGTAAAGAAATATTAACTCGTTGTTTCATCTACAACAATATATCACTGTAGAGAAATATTAACTCGTTGTAAGATAAATATCTACATATAAACTTCATAATTATTCTGACAAAGATGCAGATAAAAAAAGATGGTGTGTGGCTAATATAACTTAACATGAGCATGTGGTGCTTCAGGTGATGTAAATACCAAACAAAAATTAAAGTCATCTAATGACTGCTTAATTACAACAAGGCCTCTAACAATGATATGTACATTATTATAGTCATTATATAACTATCCGATATGACTGCTAAATTACAACAAGGCCTCTTACAATGTACATCATTATAGTCGTATAACTTTAAGATATGTCTTACTGAAATGCTTTGTTTTATAAATACTTATCACTGTATTATACCTAATTATTCATGTTAAACATTCTTCCTTTGACACAACAAAAATATCCTATGGAATATAAGAAAAATTAAAAGCTTTGTTGTTAGCACCATTTGCATCTTTCCTATACATTATGATCCTATCTTACAATGTAGGCCTTGTAATCATATCTTACAATGTAGGTTGTATACCTTTGCATATGTTAAATTAACAGAACATAGTATCTAATATAAAAATATACTAGGGAATTTAACTCTTTAAACATTAGAAATACAGACAGGACACTTATTTGACAAATTATCATTCTATAAATGTAAGAGCTGGGGAAAAACTTACTATTCATATTCATACAAATGAATGAAGTAAGCCACATAATATAGAACAGATATCAGATTTTGTCCTATGTACATTTTAATGTTATACACTTTTGTAACATCTGTAAGCACAGGTCTTAAAGTATTGCCTCACATAGACACCACTGTTTACATCCTCCTTAACTGACACATGACATTGTTGACAGTTATTCTTTCTGTAAATATAAAAAACTACATCATTTTTTCATTATGTTGCCTCAATATTACAAATGTTCTGCAAAGCAATGTATATAAAAAGCTATTACTCTAACAAGAGGACAACAAATGTTCCATTCAATGAATGCAAAATTTAGATTTCAAACACTGAAATTTACAAATGGAACATATTTGAAAGACTGAATCTAAGATAGTAGGTTAATAATTATTGGTCATCACTGTGAACACAAAGTGGATGACTGACAGACCTGAAATTGAATCCCACCGTATGGGACCATGTCTTAATGCTGTATACCAAATATCAATTTCCTACCATTCACCATTAATGTCTAAATTTAACTAAGTCAGTAAATAGGAAGTTGATGAGCAACAGACCTGAATTTGAATCCTTCTGTAGGGGATCATGTCTTAATGCTGTATACCAAATATCAAGAGGCTGTGATAAATCGTTGCTAAGAAAACTGTTAGGAAAATATTTTCCTGTCGATACAGACGGGAATATATCTAGCTATCAGGTAACTGTTTAGCGGAAACTTGGGCAAAGCCTCTTTACCCCTTACCTTTCAAGCTAGATATTCCAGTCTGCAGGTGCCACAAGCAGCCAGTGAAAGATTCTTATAGCATGCAACATGCCAGAAATGTAAGATGAGGCAGCTGAAGGCCATGCAGGATTGAACAAGAAGGTTAAAAATTGTTCTTGCTGTATTTGTTTTTGTTGTTGTTTTTTTTGCTGTAAGTTTATGTAAATTTTGTGACCCCAAAGATGGGACCATTTTTTTTACCTCAAGAGCTTGATTTTACATAACTTGCATTTTTTGGTAAAATACCTACACATGCGGTTTCAACTTCATACATACATTTCGACATAAGTATACAAATTTAATAAGGAAGACCATGTAATTTTGACTTCAAAGGCCATAATTTCAGCAACCTTGGCCCACAAGATAATGTTTCATGCAAATTTTGATGGGGCCATGATTTGAACATTCTTGGTAAAGATTTACAAGATGATGTTTCAGGACAAGTATCAATTGCCCATGGGATCTAAAAGAAGAGGTTTTTGAAGGTTTACTATAACATATCCGGAAAACCAATGACTCCCTGTTCAATATTAGTATGTAGTAACCCAAGGATTTATTAATGTTTGACACACAATAAAAATGATTTACCTCCAGTTCTGAGTAGTCTCCGTATAACATCTTCAACATCTCCTCTTGTAAATCCAAGACCAATAACTGTTGTCCCGATACTAGAGTCTACAAAAGCTTGTACAATACGGTCAACCTGTAATGTAAAAACAACATCTAAAAGAATACAATAAATAAATACAGACCTTCATTTAGATGTTGTTAAATAAAAATATAACTAAAGTTGTGGAAATATTTATTAAGAGGGCCATGACGGCCCTGAAATTGCTCAGCTGAAATAAAAACTACCAAGAACAAGGAACAAGTTATATTGTAAACTATAAACAAAAGGAGATATAAAATCTAAACTTAACCTGTTATCACAAAGTTCATAATTTGTATTTGAAATAGTGCATGTGTAAAAACATTACAGATTGCTATTGCTAAGGGAAACAACAGTTCCAAAAGATGTTTACATATCAGGAAATTCAATGAACCACTGGGGGCCAATTTTGACCCCAGAACTTTTATTTAAACAAACTTGGTAGACACCCATTTGAAGATGTTTCATGCTTAATATCTAGGCACTAGCTATTTGGGTTTTTTAAAAGAAGTTTTTTTTCCCTATATACATATACATATAAAGAAAAAAACAACCCTTGGGCCCCACCAATTTTGACCCTAGGGCTTTTATTTGAACAAACTTGGTGGACAACCATGAAAAGATGTTTCATGCTTAATATCAAAGCACTAGCTCCTTGGGATTTTTAAAAGAAGATGGTAAGATTATTAAGTTTATACTTAAAATACACATAAGGAAAATCAATGACTCCCTAGGGCAGGGCCAATTTTGACCCCAGGGCTTTTATTTGAACAAACTTTGTAGACACTCACAATAAGATGTTTCATGCTTTTTATCTAAGCTCTAGCTATTTGGATATTCTAAAAGAAATTTTGTAAAGTTATTCCTATATACATATAAGAACGTTATCTTTACTGTGATATTCCAAGAAAATATATGGTTGCTCTTGCAAGGTTTCGATGTTCCTGTCACAAATTAACGATTGAAATGGGAAGACAAAATAATATACCACTTCATGAAAGAATATGTTTATTTTGTTTTAACCAAAATAATGTAACTGCTATTGATTGTGAATTTCATGCCTTTTTTCAATGTTCTAAGTATAATGACGTCCGAAATAATTATCTCTATAATTGGTATTCAAATGGTACTACAATTAACGATTTTTATTCGCTGATGAGTACACAAAATGAAGAAAATATTTATAAACTATCTCTGTTTGTATATCACTTGTTGAAAAGTACCAGCTCTTGACTTATTTTATTCTAATTTTATATGTTATGCAACGACATTCAATACATGTATACACTATAATATTTATACTGTTGTGTATTTTGGGCCAGAGGCCTTTATTTACTTAAATAAAATTGAGTTGAGTTTGAGTTGAATACATATAAGGAAAACCAATGACCAGCACCCCCCCCCCACCCTGGCGGGTCAACTTAGGACTTTCATTTGAACAAACTTAGTAGACACTCACTAGAAAATGTTTCATGCTTAATATCTAAGCTCTAGCTATTTGGATTTTTTAAAAAAGATTTTTTAAGTTTGTCCTATATACTGTATGACTGGTTATTTCTGCAGATAGCTCATTTCAGCAATATTTTGCGGGTCCCTTCCAACCGCAAAAATTAAATTCGCAAATATTTCGTTTTATATTCAATTTTTCCCCGTTAAATGTCACCTAAATTTACCTGTTAAATAAATCAATACACAAATCAAATTGAAATTTTTTATGTTCCACCAAATTTCACTGACAAGCTTCAGCCCGTGGATTTATCTGTACAAAAAAATTGTAAAAGATAAGCTTAAATTGGTATGCTAAATGTATTTCTAAGTAAATGGCTAAAGCTGACTGCGCAATAGACTGCGGGGACACAGTGGATACATGAGGTACACATGGACATTAAAGGAGACCAAAAGTTGATTTATAAAGGTTTTGAAAAAGCAAGTATTGCCCAAAGTCTGGGCTACAAATTTGAATACACACAGAACTGACAAAAACTGTTTTTTTAAGAGCAGTTTTATGTTTTACTATACATTTTTAACATTCTGCTTTACTTGTATTTTTAAATGCGCTATATGGATATATTTTATCATATGAAATACATACTTTTTATACTTGACACTTTACCTTTCTCTTCAAAGAACCAACTCCCAAAAATTTAATAGGAAAACACAGAAATTAAATTTTATAAACGATTTTGATGAAAAACATAGAAATTAAATTCGCAAAATTAATATACCCATTTTCAGTTCCAAAACTCAAAAATTTTCACCCGCAGAAATAACCAGTTATACGGTACAAATAAGGAAAAAACCAATCAAAGGTGACATTCCTGTGAAGTTTGATGAAAATGGCTTAGCGGTTTATGAGGAGATGTTGTTTAAAGTAAAAGTTTACGGGTGACAGATGATGGACAAAAAGTGATCCCAAAAGCTCACCTTGTCACAGCTCTGATAATAAGTGGAAAAAGAGAAATCTTATTCAATATTGGTTGTTCAATTGTTCCCATGCTTAACTTAATCTAATTTTTTTCTATTGTTGACATATACATGCAGTTTTAAAGATACAATACTTAAACAAGAGCCACCCCCGGGCGGGGGCAACGCTCAACTTTTTACTTTCTCTAAAAGCAAACAAAGAAATGTTTGAACAAAATATTAACGTTTCCTTTTTTATAAAATAAATCATTCTGTTTTGTCACATTAGTTTTGTCTATATATTTTATTATAATAAAAATTTACTAATTTATATATATATAAATAGAGACACCCAATTCGAAGTCAATTGGTGGTGTCACGTGGTCAAGTCTTGTGGTGGTTTCACGTGGTGGAGTCACGTGGTGGAGTCACGTGGTAGAGTCACGTGGTGGAGTAACGGGGTGGAGTCACGTGGTGTAGTCACGTTGTGGTGTCACGTGGTGGTGTCATGTGGTGAAGTCACGTGGTGGTGTCATGTGGTGGTGTCACGTGCTGGTGTCATGTGGAAGTCACGTGGTAGAGTCATGTGGTGGTGTCATGTGGTGTAGTCACGTGGTGTAGTCATGTGGTGGAGTCACGTGGTGAAGTCACCTTGTGAAGTCATGTGGTGAAGTCACGTGGTCGAGTCACATTGTGGAGTCACGTTGTGAAGTCACGTGGTGGAGTCACGTTGTGAAGTCATGTGGTGGAGTCACGTGGTGGTGTCAGGTGGAAGTCAATGGTAGTCACGTGGTGTAGTCACATGGTGAAGTCACGTGGTGGAGTCATGTGGTGGAGTCACGTGGTGGAGTCACGAGGTGGAGTCATGTGGTGGTGTCACATGGTGGAGCCACATGGTGGAGTCACGTGGTGGAGTCACGTTGTGAAGTCACGTGGTGGAGTCACGTGGTGAAGTCATGATAAACAACAAGGTCTTGTCTTTAAGTATGTTCTGTTACAATATGAAGTTGATCGCTTCAATAATAGCAAAGTTACAGCCAAAACAAAGTCAAGGTCATTCATGAGTGAAGGTCAAGGTCTGTCGGGTTATTTTTAAGGGTTATCCTTGAAGATTATTATGTTCAAGTTTGAAGACAATCCATTCAAAATAACAAAGTTACAGCCAATAATAGCCAAAAACATGAAAATTTCAATAATTTGACCTTCAAAGTCAAGGTCATTTATGAGTGAAGGTCAAGGTCTGTCGGGTTATTTTTAAGGGTTATCCTTGAAGATTATTATGTTCAAGTTTGAAGACAATCCATTCAAAAAATAACAAAGTTACAGCCAATAATAGCCAAAAACATGAAAATTTCAATAATTTGACCTTCAAAGTCATGGTCATTTATGAGTGAAGGTCAAGGTCTGTCAGTTTATTTTTAAGGGTTATCCTTGAAGATTATTATGTTTAAGTTTGAAGACAATCCATTCAAAAATAACAAAGTTACAGCCAAATTAATAGCCAAAAACATGAAAATTTTAATAATTTGACCTTCAAAGTCAAGGTCATTTATGAGAGAAGGTCAAGGTCTGTCAGGTTATTTTTAAGGGATATCCTTGAAGATTATTATGTTCAAGTTTGAAGACAATCCATTCAAAAATAACAAAGTTACAGCCAATAACAGCATGAACAAGCAAAATTTGGAATTTTAACCTTGAAGGTCAAGGTCATTTATGGATGAAGGTCAAGGTTGGTGTGGTCTACTGAAAGGTCTTGTCCCAAGGGTTGTTGTGGCCAAGTATGAAGACAATACACTAAGAAATAAAAAAGTTATGATCCAGGTACAAGTTTGCAGACAGGAACAGCAACGGCTACGGCAACGGCAACTCCGTCGCGACTATAACAATACCTCTACTTTAAAAAAAAAAAGTCGAGCTGAAAAATTACATTTATAGTAAAGAACAAGTCAATTTATACCAAGTTTAGTCCTATATTAATACATTAAAAACAAAAATAAAAACATGACCAGCCTGTGGACAAAGCCAAAAATAGATATCACTAAGAAAAACTAAATTATAAAGTTACATGCCCTTTAGAATAGCATTCTTAATTAAAAACTGAACAAGCATCTAAGTATAATTTCAAGCGATTAACTAAGTAAAATGAATTTAATAATTATCTGCCCTTTGAATGGTGTTAATTTTGTTGACCAAGTTTAAAATGAATAGTTTTTACAGTTTCTGAGAAAACAGACTTCAACAAAAAGGTCAACCAACGCTGACATTAATGCAAGAGTTAACAATAGCTCCGCGTTTTTCTTAAGAAAGAAAAGCTAACAAACTCAATAGGAACAAGTACATATATATAAACATGATAAAAGTTGCTCGATTGAAGCTTATTAGTATTAGGTATTAGTAATGTTTTACACATGCACTTTTTTCAGATACATGAACTTTGTGATGTCACTTTAAGTTTAGATTTTATATCTCCTTTTGTTTATAGTTTACAATATTACATGTTCCTTGTCTTGGGGAGTTTTTATTTATCTGAGCAATTTCACGGCCATCATGGCCCTTTTGTTAAATATTGCCACAACTTGAAATATATTTTACTCAACAACATCTAAATGAAGATCTGTATTTATTTATTGTATTCTTTTAGATGTCGTTTTTATATTACAGACTGATGGTATTGTACAAGCTTTTGTAGACTCTAGTATGGGGTCAAGTATAGAAACTTTAAAACTGCATGTATATGTCAACAATGGAGAAAAGAATTAGCCTACAGATTAAGTTAAGCATTTATCATTTTCGTGAACAAATTGAACAACCAATAAGATTTTTCTTTTTCGACTTTTGTTAGCTTTTGTGATCACTTTTCATAATTCAGTGTCTGTCTATCCTAAACTTTAAACAACATCTCATAAACCACTCATCCAATTTCATCCAAACTTCACAGGAATGTCACCTTTGAAAATTGTTCAAAGAATTTAATTCCATGCAGAACTCTGGTTGCCACGGCATGTTATAAGTCAACATAACTCACACATCTTCGACTTACTCTTCTAACTCTATCCCTTTCACTTTGAGAACTTGGTAGATCAGCTGAAGTACCAGTAGCTCCTGTCATAACTAAAGTATAAAGAAAGTAAAATTATTTTAATAGCCGTTTGTAAATCTGTTGACTTTTTAGCAAATAAGAATTTGCATTACAACAGTCTAATTGTTATGGATTATTTACTTTAGTACTACCAGTCAAAGACTACATTTCTACATGATAAAAACATAACTTTAGGTCATATTAGATTAAACTAAAGAGAAGATAAATATGTTTATTCTTAGATAAGTATACATGTATGATACAAAAGATTAATAATTCACAGAGGACAATACACCAGACAAATCAGTATCATCTTTGAATAATGACCTCCACGTCTTAGAATCCTCAAGACACGCATTAAATTTTATGTGAATACTTTAAATAGTTATGAAGATTGATGTTGCTGGAGAAAAAATGAACCAGAAATTTTCTTAATTCAAAAATGGCCATTATTCAGTCAAAATTCCTGTCAGAATTATTAGTGCTGCAAATCAGCCCATTTTACTAGCCTATTTAGAGGGGTAACTGGTCTATGTCAGCCAACAGCAAGTTTCATATACCAAAATGTTCGTCTGGATCTGTAGTTTCTGGAATAGATATTCATTTGGCCCAACCCCGATGCGAAGCTAAGATATCCAAGATGGCGTCAAAGATGGCCGCCAAATCCCTAAATATTCTAGTATTTTTACGTTGGCTTATTTCCTTTTTCAGTTTTGTAAATCAATTAAAATTTTGCATAAAATTTCTTATTTTCAACCTACTCATGCTATAAATTTTGACTTTATTGATTTTTTTCTAGTTTTCATCGCCTAATTTAAACAAAAGAAGAAAAAATATGTTGCAAACTGGGTGTGCTTTCTGAATATGTGTAACTTAATAGTTTTATTCTTGTTTAAACTGAATAACATTCATGATTTCGTTTAATACAGCTTTAAAACTATATCTACACATATTTAGAATAAGTAAGAATAAGCAAACTATGCCATAAATGTGTTTTGTTGATCTAAATTCATATACAAAGTGGGTGGGGTATTACGAATTTAAATTAAATACTTTTTAGTTTTATATTATAATAGTGTTATTAAAAAGTTTAACACTTATATTTAATTGGTTAGTGATGAGACATCTTACCTTTCATAGAAAATGCCCTGCATGTGTGTCTAAATGTTGAAATATCTCTTTTATTTGTTTTATGCACACAATAAAGAACTAATTTACTGACCTGCAATTCGGTATTTGCGTTGACCTTGTGCTTGTCTTTTGTTAAGGATTTGTTTGCAAGTTTGTTTCTCCTTAGCCATAAACATTCATTGCTAGTCTTCAAATGGGATTTTGATTTTAATTGTAGGTGATTGTCACTGTTCAAGACCCATAAGATAAGCATTTATTAGGAATTTATTAACTTACAGAATTTTTCGGACCACAATCATCATTATTGAAGGTTACATCCCTCTAACATGTTTTTATTTCAAAGAGTTATACTACTTCATAAATAAGAGAATTTTTAAATCTTTATTATGCAGGCTGTTGATTTTAAATATTCGAGCGTGCTGTCTGACATGCAGCTCTTGTTTTAAGGCATTGGCTTAACATATGATAATCTACAATTGAACCATATTTGGAGCTTTGTCATTATTGATGACGGATATAATATATACATTAAAATGTAAAATGTAATTTGCTAGAACATTTAAAATTGGTAGGTTATTCAGTTTACAGTAAGAGACTTTTCTGATAGACTGGATCTGAATTATGAATAATATATTATATAAATATATATATATAGTATATATATAAATTGAGTGAATTGAAAATATATATTATTTTCTTTTTAGCTCAACTATTCGACGATTAAGGACAACTATCCTAGTCGCCCGAGCGTCGGCGTTAAAGTTTGCGTACCATCTCAAAGTCCATTGACATATGACATTGAAACTTGCACACTTGTTTACCATCATGCCCTCCTCTTGAACACTTGAGGAGGTCTATCAAGCATTTTGACAGAATTATGCCCCTTTTTTCAACTTTGAATTTACAGTACCACCTCAGATAATTTCAAAATTCCATCGACATATCGCTTTGAGACCTTGCACACTTGTTCACCAACATAATCTCAACCTGTGTACAGAGGAGGTCACTGTATCAAGCTTTTTTACAATATTATGTCCTATTTTTTTACTATCAAGCACTGAGAATAGTCAAGCACGCTGTCCTACTGACAGCTCCTGTGTATGATTTTGAGCATTTTGTTTCAAGTTTGTTGTTAACTTCATGGGAGGAATTAAGAATAGCTTTCACTTGGACGAAAATAGCTAATCTTTTCCCTGGCGGGTACTTGATAGTAATACTATGTGCTAGGGGGCGTAGAGTAACATGCACTTTCCAGTACCGTCCATGAACAGGCTCAATCAAACCGAGTCTGCAACAGCAGGTTAACAGTGTTATATTAATAGGTCCTTCGGGAGGATGGTGATGTTTGTGTCGGTAGTTTTCAATCCGGATCACGGCAGTAACCATATTGAATTTACCAGAGCACAGTTCAGCCACCGAATCGTTCCTGGACAGGCTGTCAAGCAGTTTACCAGTTCTAGTTGCTCTCACTTTCGCAAGGAACTGAAACTTCTGTACAAAACAGAGCAGTGGTACAGTGCGAATAACCGTAGAAACTATTTCATGATCAATCACAACGAAAGTGACCTGCCCGTCCGGGAATCAAACACGGGTTGCCCGATTCACAGTCCAACGCTCTACCTATTGAGCGAACCGGACGACTTGGTCTTTCGGGATCATTGATTGCAAACCTTTATAGTTGAGGTTTGGATACTACTTAGTCGGTACTAAGAGACGTGAGATACGGTCTCTCATGAACAGACCCAATCAAACTGAGTTTGAATTATCAACTTTGCCATGTTTAATTGCTCTCATAAGATCTTCTCTTTTCCTGATTTTTACAATCATAATGTCAATGACATGTTAGTTTACTTTATTTACTTTTATATTGTTACTAGAGGGATTTTATGTTAAGTCTCTCTACTATTTCACAACCGGAAGCTATACGTTGCATTAAATAGCATTTACCGCTACCTAGATGATATCCTTAACATGAATAATCAAATTTGATCAAGTGAAATCTTAAATAAATCTAAGTGAACGTAAAATGAATAAAACAAACTCTTAATATTTTCAAATTTAAACATTTCTATCATTAACAATAAGATAGTAATTAAAATCTATGATAATTGTTTTTTTTTCAAAAACAATGTAACGATGTTAACTGTTCACATGTACTTCATGCAACATCATATTGGGTATATATATTTCTAAGTTAATTAGATTTGCCTGGGCCTGCTGTCGTGTGGATGATTCTAATGAACGCAATTTATTTATTTCTGGAAAACTTCTTTAACAAGGCTATCGCTATCATAAATTACGTAAATATTTTACAAAGTTCTGTCGTCGTAATTCAAATATATTTAAGATTTAATTGTACTTTAAAAACTCTTTTACGCCTAGGTATAAGCAGGCCTGATTTATGTGGAGATGACAGCTTATCTGTGGCATGCAGGCTTCATAACCTCTGATCCCCTTTCAAAGTTCCATGTTATTTAGTTCCGCTCATTGTTTTCTTGTTTAGGGCACACACATTCTTGTACTTTGGGACCATACGCCGCTTTCTATGGAATGACACTAACGTGTTCCATGATAACCACATTATAAGCGCGTCTGCGGTTGTTTCTAAATCCAAAAGTTCACCATAACCATGATTAAATGTTGAATTCTGCTTAATTCGGTGCTAGGGGGCGTGTACTGTAGTTTGCACTTGACAGTGCCGTTCATTAACAGGCTCAATCAAACCGAGCCTGCAACATTTTCGTTTTTGACGTTTTGTGCGTTCTTAATTGTTTTAATTTCGTCTTCTGTCTTGGTAAGTGATGTTCTTGTTGCTCTGCCTGCCTTTAAGGCATCGAGTACTTTGGTTATGGTAATTAGGCTGTACCTTAATTTTACATATTTACACGATCATGTATGTATTTTATCTATTTCGTCTAATGTAACCATAACAATTGTTAGAATTTCACTTGGCGGGGATTAATTTTATTTACACTGTGTCGTCATACAGGAACATACCGGTAGTGGTAATTGCAAGTTACCTACCATCCACACCCTCTAGCACCGGCTTAAGCAGAATTCTCAGTTTTATATAAACTGGTACACTTTTAAAGGAAGTGAAGACACGTCCACATATGTATTCATACGAAAGTGATCATGGTATCTTCAATGTTAAATGTTCGTGCAATTTCACGACATACAACTAATTGTCCACAAGAAATAGAGAACAATGGGCGAAACTAAATAAAATGGATTTATATAACGGGATCAAAGGCCAAAATATAATCTTTAAAAGCAGGTAACATATCCAAAGGCTTATTATACACTATTTAAAAAGAAATACTAGAACCACACATCTCGAAAAAGGTCAAATAGAAGGAATTAAAATAGCACAAACACAATTATAATGCCAAGAACGATTTTCATATAAACATTATGTTTTATCCGACTACTATGCATGTTTCATGAAACCGAAGGTCAACAGAGTAATGATCTATGTAGATAAAATATCAAACTTTTTAAATGACTATTTTGTCAATTTAAGAAACTTTAAAAAATAAATTACATTTCATTTGACATAAAAAGGTGTGTAACATATAAAGAGCAAAGGTTGTATTGCATACATTGTACTTTTCAAATCCTTAGGTGAACTTACAACAAAATCATGCTTATTAAATTGGTTAGACATTTTTGAACAGATTTTTAGATCTGATAGGATGAAAATCACCTTATGATTATTAACTTACGTAAATATTGTCATTCCATATAATCAGTATAATCGAGAGGTCAGAGTTTCTCTAGATTTTTATTCGTAGTGGGTGGGGTACGATTTGAACAACAATTCATTAAATAACCAGAAGCAAATTGTCATATTCCTGGTTTATTATGTTAATCAGTTACATGGACTGCACTAAAGAAGCTATAATTTGACAGAAACACAAAATTTGGGGAAATAATTGATAGAACAAAAAAGTACCAGTTACAACCTTACATTGTAAAACTATTTTAATGTACCGCCTCTCATTTTATATGTCTTACTGCATAATTACAAAGAAAGATTTCTTAAGATATGATAGGAATGCATTAAAGCATTACTCTCATGAATACACTACAATAGTGGAATAACAAATAAATAATAAATATTTCTCTGTTTAAGCTAAGACAAGAGTATCATAGCACAAACCCATAAATTTAGCTTTATTTTGCTTAATTACGTATAAAAAAAGCAAAAAGCAATCTGTTTTCTCAAATAAAATTAAATCTCTTCGTATAAAACGCTTTAAATGATATCTTCCGTGCAAAAATTTTCACATTGAAATACAAAAGCGGCGAAACAAATATGAGCAATATATTAAATTCTAGAATATTTAGGGATTTGGCGGCCATCTTTGACGCCATCTTGGATTTTTAAGCTACGCATCGGACTTGAACCAAATGAATATTCATTCCGGAAACTTAAGACCAAGACGAATAATTTGGTATATAAAACTTGCTGTTGGCTGACATAGACCACTTCGGTGTCATTTTACCCTATGAATTTGCAGCACTATATAGGCTTTTGGATAGTGACCTCTGGTTATGACCCCAAAGACTTGTATTAAGTTTCAATACCTTCAGCAAGACTTGATCCAAGAATTTTCTGAATTAAATAGGGCTATAATTCAGTCGTAGTCTATGCTAGAGTTATGGGCCTTTGACCTTGACCTCAATGATATCAAAGTGATGTACATTAAGCTTCGAGCAAATATCTTTACCAAAATTTGTTAACACACTTTAAACTAGCTTATAAAATTCTGGCCCATGGCAAATATCAAAAGAGTAGCCAACTTTAGCATTTTGTAAGCAAAGAATTTTAGAGCAAAAAAAAAAAAGAAGATATATTTACAACCATCGGCCTGTAATGTTGCTGATCCTTGACCAGTAGTAGCTGGATTACCAGGTTGTGTTGCCTGAAAAAAATAAATATTCAAAGGTCAGTAACAATTTTAACTTATAATCAATCATGATCCTATCCTGTAAACATATCAAATTCATACACAATACAGGTCTACCACGACAGAAAAATGGTACCAATTTAACTAATTTAACATCTTTCTGTTAGCAGCTAATTATGCATCAATTACACAATTTACAATGTGTATCATAGGCACTAAAAAATCAAGGAAGTGAATTTGAATGACAGTTTGACAGGCTATCAAAATTAAGTGGTAATATTAAATAGTTTATGCTTTTATTAAGTTGCCAAGACAGTAATTACACAAGTAACTTCCTATTTTTACCATTGCCAAGTGTTCTGTAGTTAATCCATTTTCTCTTGGAGGGTCCTGACGTAGATTAGACTCTTGATTTGCATGTCTTGAAATGCTATTGTTTCCATCCATTCTCTGAGCTCGATTTTGATGCTCAACTAGGTTTGGCCATGGAAGGAATCGTTGAGCTTCATTGTAAGTTGCTCCGGAGGGAACAATTTCTGAAAAAAGTCTACGCATCTGTTGAGCAAATGAACATACTCCCTGCTGTTGGTAATGGCTTCCTGAGACACATAAACTATCATGGTTTCCTTGCATAACTTGCACATGATGTGCAAGGTTAATTCCATAGATAGCCATTGAAATGTTATGAGCTAAATTACAGATATGTCTATGCCTTTCCAGGAAGACATTCAAATGTCTGTCTCCAAGACGTAGATGATACTGCTGTAATGAGCGTCCACAGAAAGCACAAATTATATCTGAATTATTGTTACAGAAAAACCCTTCTCTGGCTAATAAAATACTGATACCTCTTTCTAGATCAACTCTCAAGCAGAATGTACCAAATCTGTAAGCTTCTTCCCTTGCTTCTGCTGGTATGAATGAAACACTTATTCTTACTGCCCAAAGATCATATATCGTTTGTGTTGGTTGGGAGCATTTATAAATAGATGCAAATGTGTCATTTTTCTCTAAACATTTAGTGTTCTTTTTGAAAAATAAAAACATATGAAATCTCATACAAATATCAAAAATTATATCATATATGTTTATCTTCGGCTGTCTAACTAAAACTTCATCACTTCTTATTTCAGTGTTTTTCAGATTTTCAATATTCCCTTTGCTGTCATCTGCATCTACCTCATTTATACTTGAAACACTCTGATCTTGTTCATAAAAAGCTCCCAGATCTGACTCATTTTCAGGCTCATTATCAGTAAGATCAAAAACTTCATCTGAATCTTCACCTTTCTGAACATCCATTTCGGGTTCTTCCACATTGTCATTCATTTGCTCTGTCTGGCTGTCATTCTCACCCTTCAATATGGAACATACAGGCTGACAGCATTGAAATGATGGATTACCTTCAGAATGTTCCAAGTTCCTGGATACATGACCAGTCTCTTCCTGTTGCTTGGACTGGCTACGAGGGCAAACACCTGTTGCATCCAACTCCTCTTTTTTTTCATTTATCTTACTTTCACCACTGCATTCCGGTAAATTTGAACTTTCTAAATGATTAAGAGGTCTTTCAGTTTGCTGCTCTGGTGTAGTTTTAACTTTCCTCAACTTCTTTAGGGTTCTTATTTTCACTCTCATCACTCGAATTCATTTCACAAGTCTTTCCAGTTTTATCCATGACTTAAAGAATGTACTTTATATTGAAAAGTTTATGAAACTGGTGTATTGTCCACAACGGAGAGCAAAACAAATAAAGAAAGACAGCAAAAATCTTGTCACAGAATTATCTAACATTCTAATGCATGGGTTTCCTTTTTCTTTTATGCATTACAAGTCTTTATTATGTTGCTGTAAGTTCTTTTTACCTGAAAATGTAAAATAATACATAAAAATTTATGAAATTATCAAGTTTAAGTGAATTTAACAATTACAATAAGAGCCATCGCCTAGTGGGGCCCTACTTCTGGTTCTACTTTTTCATATTTCTATAGCCAAACAAATTGTCATCAGAGTAAGAATACGCATCATTTTCTTGTACAAAAAATATAACTCAAATTTCATATTTGACATTTACATTCAATGTCAGTAAAATGTCAAGGTCACCTTTGAAGGTGATTCCAAATCCACACCCGCCACCTTATCTATTTGTAAACAAAGGGCCATTGGCTCAAAAGCGCTCACCTGAAAAAAGACTATATTTGTGTAAGGGCCAATTTTGAGACTAGTGGAAACTTTGAACAAGTTTTGAGGACATATAGATGATACCATCTTCCAAATATCAAAGTTCTAAGCCTTATATCTTCTGAAAAGAAGAATTTTTAAGTTTTCACTATGTTTATAGTGAAAATCAATGACCCCCAGATTGGGGCCAATTTTGACCCCAGGAATGTAATTTGAACAATGTTGGTAGAAGTCTACTACACACTGTTTCATGTCTAACCTCTGACAATTCAAAAAAGATGATTTTTTAAGTTTTTACTATATACTTTTAAGGAAAATCAATGACCCCAGGGCTATAATTTGAATAATATTTTGTAGTTTCATTAGATGATGCTATACACAAAATATCTTAGCGCGGTGTCCTTGCACTTTCAAAAAAAGAGTTTTAAAGATTTCATTTCAAAAAATTATTTCTAAGGCCTTTTGTCCCACATGTCCAATGGAGCAGAACCATTTGAACAATTTTAGTAGAGCTTCATGCTAGGAACAACTCAGGTAAATTTCATTAAATGTGTCCCATGGTTTCTGATAAGAAGTTGTTTGTAAAAAAATGTTGACAATCCATGTACTGACTCAGACGATGGACAAATTGTGATGAAAAAAGCTCACCTTGAGTATTTGACAAGGTGTCTAAAGGATATAAGGAAAACCGGCAATGCTACAGATCATCTAAGATAATTAGCATTAAGTGTATTAATTGAGTCAAAAAATGTGACCACTAGAGTATTAACAAGGTATTTTTTAGCTCCTGTGACCTTGTTTTTCATCCGAGATGACCACATGTCGAACTCATCCAAGCAATTACCTAGACAAGCATCCTGACCAAGTTTGATGATGATTGAGTCAAATGTGACTACTAGAGTGTTAACAAGGTTTCTCTATTTTTAGCTCCTGTGACCTAGTTTTTCATCTGAGATGACCCATGTTCGAACCCATCCGAGCTTTTACCAGACAAGCATCCTGACAAAGTTTCATGACAATTGAGGCAAAAATGTGACTGCTAGAGTGTTTAACAAGGTTTTTCTATTTTTAGCTCCTGTGACCTAGTTTATCATCCGAGATTACCCATGTTCGAACTCATCCGAGCTATTACCTATATAGCATCCTGATAAAGTTTGATGATGATTGAGGCAAAAATGTGACAGCTAGAGTGTTAACGAACAAGTGTGGGCGGACGACAGACTACATACATTCAACAATCCTAAAAGCTCACTCTGAGCTAGCTCAGGTGAGCTAAAAACAAACAGGGCATCCATGGATAGATGGGAGAAACAAAAAGAGGGCCAAGATGGTTCTAGATTGCTCACCTGACCCATCTCATCTGAGCAATTACTTAGACAAGCATCCTGACCATGTTTGATGACAACTGATTCAAAAATGTGACAATAAGAGCGTTAATAAGGTTTTTTTTCATATTTGGGTTAAGTGTGACCTAGTGTTTGACCCCAGGTAACCCATATTCAATCTTGACCTAAAAATCAGTGACACATACTTGCAGACCAATATCCAGGATATTTGGATTAAAGCAGTAGCCACTAGAGTGTTAACAAGATATTTCTTTTTAGCTTCTGTGACTTAGTTTTTCATCCAAGATGACCCTTGTTGGAACTTATTAGAGCATTTAACTAGACAAGCATCCTGACCAAGTTTGGTGACAATTGAGTCAAAAAATGTGACCACTAGTGTTAACAAGGTTTTTCCATATTTGGGCAGTGGGACCTTATTTTTGACCCCAGGTGACCCATATTCAATCTTGAGCTAGAAATCATAAAAACGTACTTTCAGACCAATTTCCATGATATTTGGATCAAAACAGTAGAAACTACAGTGTTAAAAAGATTTATCTATTTTTAGCTCCTCCGAGATGACCCATGTTCTAACTCATTCTAGCAATTACCCAGACAAGCTTCCTGACAAAGTTTGATGATGATTGAGGGAAAAATGTTTGTGATGTTTAAATATGGTCGTTGAATTTCAAATTATCACTGAATTCAACTCCTAAATTTATACGAATGCCGGTTGGCTATTTCCAAGCTTTAGCCTTTCATTTTGTAGACATATTTCTTTTTATGTGGAGAAGATGAAAATTGCATAATTACGCATTTTTTCACATTTTTTCAGAGCTAAGTTGTCATGATTACTTATTGGCCGATCACACATTATCATCAGCGAATAAAGGTATATTTGATTATTATCTGCGATGTCATTTATGTAGATTAACAAGAGCGATCAGTGATCACATGTGTCGCCTCATAATGGCCAATTTCATGTTGGGACAAGTTTTGTGACAGACAGACGGACAGTGCACAACTAGACTTGGTACTGATCATTCCTGTAAAGTTTGGATGAAATTGCACCAGTAGATTATGAGGAGTAGTGGGGACAAGCTTTTGTGTATCTGGCAACATACAGAAAAAAAACACCTTTTTATCAAAGGGCCATAACTCGGCCACAAATCATTCAACCGAAAAACCCGTGCAATATAAGCAAGGACTTGAGCTACAGATCAATCCTGTAAAGTTTCATTGAAATTGCATTAGTGGTATAAGAGAAGTAGTCCGGACAAACTTTAAAAATAAAAATTATTAAAGGGCTATAACTCTTACAAAAATCATTGAACCGGAAAATTCTGACAACATGCACAACAAGACTTGGTACTGATCATTCCTGTAAAGTTTGGATGAAATTGCACCAGTAGTTTATGAGGAGTAGTCCGGACAAGCTTTTTGTGTATCTGGCAACACACAGAAAAAAAACACCTTTTTTATCAAAGGGCCATAACTCAGCCAAAAATCATTCAACCGGAAAACCCGTGCAATATGCGCAAGGACTTGAGCTACAGATCAATCCTGTAAAGTTTCACTGAAATTGCATTAGTGGTATAAGAGAAGTAGTCCGGACAAACTTTAAAAATAAAAATTATTAAAGGGCCATAACTCTGACAAAAATCATTGAACCGGAAAATGCTGACAATATGCACAACTAGACTTGGTACTGATCATTCCTGTAAAGTTTGGATGAAATTGCACCAGTAGTTTATGAGGAGTAGTCCGGACAAGTTTTGTGACGGACAGACGGACGGACAGACAGACGACGGAGAAGTGATCCCCGTAGAGGCGACACAAAAAGAGTGTTGGTTCCTTGAGGAAACACCAGATGTTACTGAAGCTAAATCAGATGATGTGTTGTCCACTTAACTACTTGCTTAATTGTTCTATTAGATTTAAAGGAATCAATCCAATGCCTAGTATTGCCGGAAATACCGTTATACTCTAGTTTGTGAGATAAACGACCAAGAGAAACTTTATCAAATGTTTTAGAAAAGTCTACTTGTGTACTGGAATTTAGTGTTTTTATGATGTCATCGTTCATCATTAATAGTTGTGATTCACAAGATCTTTTTGAGCGAAATCCGTGCTGATTTTCATGTAAAATACTTTGAGATCAAGATGGTTCATTATTTGTGACACTACTATATGTTCAAGAATAGTTTATAAATATTGATTGGTCAAAACAAGTAGATGACCACTATTGATTTTGGGGTCACAAGGTCAAAGTCACAGGGGCCTCAAATGTCAGAATGGTGTCTTCTCATTATCTTGGTAACAATCATGGCAAAGTCTTCATATTTCACATATTGATTGGTCAAAACTAGTAGATGACCCCTGATATTTTGGGGGTCACTAGGTCAATGTTCTAGGTCACAGGGGCCTTAAATGTCTCATTACTCTTGAAAACTATTTATCACAAAGTCTTCATTATTTTTCTTTTTTCCATAAATTGAACACTCCCATGTACCCATTTAACGCAAGTTTCTACAACAAAATTACCAATTATGTGAGTCACAAAGCCATATATTTCACACATTAATTGGTCATAACTAGTAGATGACCCCTATAGATTTTGGGGTCACCAGGTCAAAGGTCAAGGTCACAGGGTCTTTAAATGGTAGAATGGTTTCAGCTCATTATCTTGAAAGATAATTATCACAAAGTCTTCATATTTCACAAAGTGATTGGTCATAAACAACAGATGATCCGTATTGCTTTTGGGGTCACTAGATCAAAGGTCAAGGTCACAGGGGCCTTAAGTGTCAGAATGGTTTCCACATAAAATCTTTAAGATTTTTTATCACAAAGTCTTCATATTTCACATACTGATTGGTCATAACTAGTAAGTGACCCTATTGATTTTGGGGTGGCTAGGTCAAAGGTAAAGTTCACAGGGTTCTTGAATGTTAGTATGGTTTCTGCTCATTATCTTGAAAACTATTTATCACAAAGTATTCATATTTCTAATATTGATTGGTCATAACTATTAGATGACCCCTATTGATTTTGGGTCACTAGTTCAAAGTTCTGGGTCACAGGTAGAGGTGTAACGCTTCATCGCGATCTGCCCTGTCCTCGATGTCTGCATCGTAATGAAATTACAAATTCCAAATATATTTGCGATGCAATACATATTTCACCTCCGATGTATCGATATAGTGGGAAAGTATCACAATACACTAACAATATCTTTCCAGAATATAAGGACAAACGTATTTTTTGAAAGACTGAGGAAAGAAAAATAGCTCGATGAAAACAATGAACAAGAGCAACTATTATCATATCATCATTGTCATCTCGTTTCCCCATGTCCGCAATAATTTAACGGTAACTAACCAAGTTTTAGCAATTCCATATAAATGGGCTTGTGTTCTTTGAAGTTGTTTATAATAAAAAAAATTATTTGAGATCTATGCGTTTTCAAGAAAAAACAACAAACAAACATGAATTTGTAATTTTATCTAGTCGCACTTGATGTCGAATTAAAATAGTGATGATGACGACATTCCCATGTGATATTCGTCATGTATTTATACTTTCACTTCCGTTGACATCATTTTCCTGTAACAAACAACAAAACAAACAAACAGAAAACATGTACACTGCAAAATATTTAGTTAATCCTCCCTGGTCATATAATTCACGAGTTTTGGGAACATTGTAGTTTGATAGTTTTGTATAATGTAGAAGACCGGACGTGGAGTCTAAAAGCGTGTCACAATTAATATGTTTACAGATTAGTCATTTAATGCCCACAATTACATTGCTGATATTTTGAATCTTCAAGAGATATTTCTTTGATTTTAGCAGCAGCACCACCACAATTTAAGCAGTTTCGATGATAGACTGCAACAAATATGCCACTAGAATCAGTCAACTACTACTTCAACTACTATTACTATCAAGCAAGTTAATCGCTAGTATGGGATCAAACGTGTTAAACTACTGTACACAATTCAATCATTTTGTATTCTGCAGAAGTATGTAGGATTGAAAGAGAAAGAGATTTTGGAAGCGAATATTAAATGAGGTAACACATTTTAACACAAATGCTATAGATTGGTATCTACCTTCTGATGATGACACGAATGCCTGTACAGTCTTTTAAACATACTGAATATGAAAATTGATACAGGTGCTCAGGTCAATATTCTCTTAAGGTCAATATTCTGATCATTAGGTAAATAAGAATTAGTACTTCCAACACAAAAGTAATAAGCAATTATCTAAGTATAACTATTGCAAGCAATACACCAAAGTCCCCAACAACACTCTGAAGGGCCATGTTCAATCAATAGGCTTCGATCTTGAAGGTAACAGTGTTCTTAAAATAGATTTTACCTAATCACCACTCCATCACCTGTACTGACTTTATGACAAGCGATTAGGAGTAACAATATACATGATGTAAATCAGCGGATATTTGCAACTTTGTTAACATGCAATATTTTAGAAATTTTATACAATTGTAGAAAAGCAAACGAGTTGGAAATAGAATTTAGTGTGAAAAGAAAAGGGACAGCTAAACACTACTTTTAAGTTACATTTAAACATATGTCACGATCTGCTCTGGCCTCTATAGGGTAAACTAATTTTAAGTCGGACGCGATACAGAGTCGGACATTTTTGACGCTTATTTTACAGCAATTTACTCACTTGGATCATCGTAAAACATAAACATACCGCGAGATAAACAATCTTACTCACGCGCACCGTTTTCAATACCCTGATGACGTATTTCCGGTCTTTTCCAAAGTCAAGCACAACAAACCACAAAACGCGCGAAAATTTGAAATCGTTTTCAGGTAAAAATCAAGAGTTGTTCATCTTTGACTGTTACTAAATTTGGCTATATTACTAAATGAAGATATTTAAACCATGTGTATATAGTTAATAGTCATTTTTTCTTTAAATAATGACTATATTTATCCATTTGCTATTGTGCAATAAAATGTGGCGTGATTATTGTTAGATTATATTATATGATGTTAAGTCGGACAGCTGAAAATGTTAATTCAATGCAGAGTCGGACACTGTCCGGCTCAACATCATCATTTCATATTTAATTTAATTGATTAGTTCTAAATCATACATTAACAAATTTAGTATATTTTCTTGAATCTTGTCCTTTTCCTATTTTTTTTGGCGCAAAAATACATAACAAAGATAAACTATTAAATGATTAAGTCCTAGATATATAAATTTCTTTGAGTGCATAATTTGAATAATCTGTACATATCCAATGTTTTCACATGACAAAAATTCGAGATCATAAGATATGATAGAATATCTTCGCTTTTCTCAGTTATTTTTAATCTCTTATAAATTATTTGAAATATTAACTAATACATTTAATTATGATGCTCTGTCTTCTGTTTATTTCAGTTTCACAAACTTGTAATAGGAATAAAAGAACGTCTATTGAATATTTACTGATTCTCAATATCCAGCAAAAAGAAACGAGTTAGTATTAAAAGTAATTATTATTTCTTTATTTAGTTTTGGTCAATGAAAATGAAGAGAGACAAGAACTTCGCTAGACCCATTTAGTTTTTGTAAATACTTCATGATTTGTAACCAATTTAGTGTTCGAAATTAATTTATAAGTAGTTGATTTGCAAAAATGATTTGAGTTAAGTGACTTGCAAAAATAAATGCGTAACACTATTTGAAGCATTATTATTCTATTACACAAGAATTGTTTTAAACATAATTACTTTTAGATATGCATTTCCTAAAACAGTCTTCTAATTCTCAGATAAATATGATATTCAGATGTTTACGTAACAAAAAAAGTTACTGAAATAATGCGTGTTTATTTTTTTTTTTTAAAATACCGCTGACTTGCGTTTCCGTTGTAAAATTAATATAAATTCAATTATTTTTGTTTGGCGACATTTGATTTGGAAAATGCTCAAGGTACAATGTGTGGGTTATTATATTTTAAATTTTATGTATCAAAATAAAACTTTTTGATGTTGCTATATAAATTTAACTGTTTCTTGTAAGGAGTACTGTGCTTTTACATATGATAAGAATAATTATCGTAAAAGTAAACACTTTTCTTTATCTTTTCTAATATTCAGGATGAAGAATGTTATTATCCGTGGTTTATTTACTGTTGGTATGCACCATTGGGGGAGAAAAGAATTAGAAGTCGGGATTCTGTATTATTGCAAAAAGGAAATTGATAATCCAAAAGACCAAAACGCTATTGCCGTGTACAGTGACGTAAACTTGCAGAACAAAGTGGGCTATTTAATTAAAGAGGATGCATCTAAACTTGCACCAGTTATGAACCTCATCTCTGGAAAAATATATTTAAGAGCAAAATTTGCTGCAGAGAAGTTTTCACGCTTCAAAGGTCCCAAACAAAACTGTAGTATTGGATTTAAATGTTCTGAAAGTATGGCAAACTTTATTGTAGAGAACCTTGGTCGTACATATGAAGTAAAAGTCTTTTAAATCGATATGTAAATACAATTACACCAGAGTTATCATTGTAAAAGACAGTATTCCTTACATGAAGTGATCTTATTGTGAAATAAATGGTTTAATGATTTTGATTGTTTGCTTATGATTTATACATTTTTTTTTCAGCAGATATGAGGGACTGGTCTGCGGAAGCTATGTCGTCGGCATTAGCTGCCGTTCGAAATGGTATGTCTATTAGAAAGGCGTCAGAGAAATATCAGGTTCCAAAATCTACGCTGTATGATAGGGTTAATGGGTCTGTCGAGGAAGGAAGTAAATGGGGCAACGATAGCCATTTTAGTAAAGAGGAAGAAAATGAAATGATAAATGCCGCCGTCAAACGGGCTGAGAAGGGCTTGGGATTTTCGAAGGGTTCGTTTCTAAGGTTTGTTGGAGTTTATGCTGAGGAGAAGGAAAACCCTTTTAAGAAGGGCAAACCATCAGACATGTGGTGGCGGGCCTTAAAGTCAAGACACCCAACCTTTTCTTTAAGATTTCCTGAAGCTACCGCAACCAGTCGCCATAATGCCATGACTAGGGAAAGGATTGCAAAGTATTTCAAAGACTTGAAGGAAGTCTATGATCATACAGATTTGCATCATTTCCCTAGTCGAATATGGAATATGGATGAAACCGGGATTAATCTTCCCATAAGCCATGTAAAGTTTTGGCAACTAAAGGCGCTAAAACAGTACATGGTAAATCGAATGTTTCACGGGAGACGATAACAGTTATTGCCTGTGGAAATGCTGCTGGTCGGGCAATCCCACCACACTTCATCATCCCAGGTAAAACTTCCAAAAAGTTGCATGGGTTTGATATTGAAAGTGTTGAGTGTCCTGACTCACCTATTAGAGGTTCAAAGTTTTCTGTAAGTGACTCTGGGTGGACAAAAGTCGGTATAGGGAAACTTTGGTTTGAAAAGACATTTTTACCATGCATTGGAGATGAACGTCCACAACTATTGATTTTTGATGGGCATGGATCACACAGTAGCATAGAATTTATGAAGCTTGCAAGAGAGGAAAATATTATATTGGGTGAGCTTCCAAGTCATACCAGTAATTGGACACAGCCATTTGACCGTGCTGTCTTCAAGTCATTGAAGACAGCATGGAATGCCGAAGTTGATGACTTTGTGAAGCAGACAGGTATATCTTTAGGTCATGCTCAATTCCTGCGAATATTTGGTAAGGCCTGGAAATCCTCCATCCGTTCAGACAATATAGTAAGCGGATTTAAAGCTACTGGCATTCTTCCGTTCAACCCTGAAGCTATTCCAGAAGCAGCATTTGCCCCAAGTGACCTCCAAAATCAACATCATAATACAATAACACATCCGGAACCGGACTCAGAGGCAGCTGTAGCTGTTTCATCAGCATCATTAACATCGGTCTCTCTTTTAACTGAATCAGAGGGCACACCACTACAAGAAAATAGCTCGGATCCGTTCCTCCCCACAGTGTACGATATTAATATTGAAAATGAACTCACGAACGAAAATGCCGTCCAAGTAATTGATCTCCCATTAACTCTTAATCTTGAAAACCAGGATGATAATATGGAAGACATGGAAGATCAAAATTTAACAGTGGTTTCTGACAAAAAAGCACTTAAAGTAATTGAATCAGCATTATCCCCAGATACATTAGCAAAATATTGCGCAGCCTATTTGAGCGGCATTGCCTTAAACGACAAATTATATGAAACTTGGAAAATGTATAAGTCAAAAATAAATGATATTGCACCTAAGGAGGCAACAGCAGTAAACAAGGTCATGGAAGATATGTTTCCATTACCAAAACCAGCAAATGCAAAGAAAGCTCCCGCAAAACGCAAACATACTGGACAAAATTATTTTGTTATAACCGCCGACGAAGTGTATATGGAAAAACTTAACTGTGAAGAAGAAAAAAAGAGAAAAAGTATTGAAAAAGAAAATAGAAAACAAGAACGTGAAAGAAAAAGATTGCTTAAAGCTATAGACACACAAAACAAAGCTAAGAAGAAACAAATCAATAAAAAGAAATGAAAAGTAATTGTTGTACGACAAACGAAAGTATCAACATTATAGTTCGTCACAAAGTAATTTAAAGTTTTGTTACTTAATTAAGAGTTTGTTAGATAGAGAAAATTATTTGTTTTACTTAAAATGGACTAACTTTTTACTTGGGCGTACTTACATACTGTTACTGTTACAATTTTAGTAAAATGATATAGAAAAATATGGTTTATAACAAATAAAAGAATTAAACATTTATATCCATATAAATGTGTTTACTGTTTTCTTTTTTCTTAATTTTTAATTGCTAACAATTATACGATACAAGTAACAATTACATTTTATAAAGTACATGTTTACAGTTAGACCTTTCAAAACTATAGATGAAAGTTTTATATATACTTGCCCCAATTGCATGTTTCCCTTACCAAATCAGTTCATCGAAAGGTTTTGAATGAATTAAGAAATGGTCCATACCAGGTCCGTCGTCATGATTTTGCGATTCGTGCTGCAAATTTGGTGGTTCGAGAGGGTTACGGGGGCATGCTCCCCCGGAAATCTTTTTATTCTAGGATGCTCTCAGGAGCGTTTTCCAGTGTATTTGGCATAGTTTACAGTCTGCCGTAGAACATATTATTTTGGCATATGTCACTGATTTTTACAAAGATGTGCGCGTCGAAAGTTTAAAAGAGTATAAGGTTGACTACCGATCGCATAACGGACGGACAGTTGTATACATAAAATATGAATAATTAATATTTGACAAAAGAAAAATAAACATTACCGGTAATTGATGTTCTTATAATTCTTCATTTTTATCTGATAATTATAAATAAACAAATACAAGAAATATTACATACAGGAACAGAAGTTCGTAGATTGTGTTCACAATATCGTTAAATAGCTTAATTAATTATCAGTTGATTATGTGAATTTTCCCAAAACATATCGCCGTCGTTCGTTTTGGAAACGAAAATAATTTTCATTGATTTGGTTTCGATGGAACTGTGTCGCACGTTATGATATATCTTAATATTTTAAACTGTTTGTATTAAATACTTGTACGTGAACAGCAGTAAAATTTAAGGAATTGTGATGTTATATTTTGTATATAAACATATATAAACGGTAAACTGTCCGACCCCGTGCCATTTTTAAGATAACTTCACACTTCACTTCGTGGTACCCCTGCATGTACCTGGTCAATTAACGTTATCCAGATGTTTAGCGTCATGTTTGTATACTTGCAAATTATTATTTTAAGTATAATGTTATATAAAATTCCAGTCTTCATAGGAAATTGCTTGTATATAACAATTCATGCACTTCTCCTGAACTAATTAGTCGTATTCTAATGAAAACAGGACTGAAATCTTAACGGTCTTGTTAAAAAAAAAGGTGTCCAACTCTCCATCAAAACTGTCCGAGTCACCATCAAAAGCTGGTACCTGGATTAATACGCGAATATTTTCTTTTCTTTTACTTGTTCCCAGCATTTATGACTATTTTTCTGCGTATTAATGAATAACCTCGGGTGTAAGTTCTCTGGAAACCCCATTATGTTTCTAAAAATAGATCTTACACGCAGAAGAAACCGGAAGGTGTCCGACTCACGATCACTTTACCCTAATTGTAATTTAAATCTGTGATAAGAGTTAATATTTATTTTCCAAAAAGAAAAGAAAGGTATTCTAACTGGTACTTCTTGTTTCTCGTAATTTTCGTTGACTCTAATCTTTACTATGTTTTATACTTTTTTCACACCTTTTTTCCATAGGCACTCGGTTCCAAAAGCTTTTATGATTTTGATTTATGTAAAAAAAAATTCATATCATGTATATAAAATACTACAAGGTTTCGCAGCCGCCTTTTTTAAAAGAAGGGAAAGTGCGTTGACGGGTGAAAAATTTTTTAAAAAAAATTTAACGGGCTCCCGAGTCCCCAAATTTAAAACATTTGGTTGATGCGGGTCCCAGGGCAAATATCAAAAAGTGTGGTCCCCGTATTAGCAATAGTCTCAAATTATGGGAATCGGATAGTTTTTTTTAAAGGGAAAATTTACCCCACCCAACCCCACTTCCTTTGTTTTAAAAAACTTTGGCCCGGCTCCCAAAACCCCGTAGTATTTTTTTATACATTTTTGAATTTTTTTTAATTTTTCAAAATAAAAAGTTTTTGGGCCCAAAGTGCCTATGTTTTTTTCGGTTTTTAAAATTCCAATAAACCCTTTTTCAAAATTTGTGAATATAAACTATTTTTAAACACTTTTTAAAGTTGGGGGGTGAAGAAAACCCTTAGAAAAATATAATCATTTCTCAGATAATTAAATGAACACCTTTTAATTATCTTAAAACCCCTGTCACATTTGGGGCGTGGCCTTTTTGGGCCCAAAAAAAATTTCAGAAACAGGGAATGAGCACAGACAGATCCGGGCAAGTTCCACCCAAGGTCACGGCTTATGCATTCCCATTTACACTGTTAGAACCCCGACCAACTATCCGGCTTTTTTGATCATGCTAAACAAAGTCATCACTTCCTTCTCATACAAACAGGGGGTGGAGCTTATATAACACAACAGGAGTGCCATGAAAGAGCAAAAGGAATGCAAATGATCGTGGTGGTTTTAGCATGGCTTGTACAGAGATTTAAGCGGCGTCTCTACATGCTGCCAAACGCAGAGGAAGTGCAAAGAACTTAGTAGAAGTGTAGTCTAAACGCAGATAATCGGCATAATTTAAATTCGTGGAAGCTCCGTAGCATCACCAGATCGCTGTGAGGACGCCGTGAAGATGCCTTGAATTCTCCATGTCATTCATCAAATATTTTTTTTTTTATTGCGATCTCCCGGCTCTTTAATAAATTTAACAACGCATGCCAACGCAGTGCCCAAACGCAGTGAAAGTGCAGTCTAGTGTGACAGGGCCTTAAAGGTTTAGTGATAACGGACACAGTTACAAATAAAAACAGCCTCCAGCAGTGTTTGTTTCTCCAATAATGCACAGCGTTCCGTTACGGCGGCTGTGCCAAATTGAAAATGGGCATTTCAGGCTGGAAAATTTTTGGCTAAATCCAAGCAGGGAGCTGTACAACTTGAAGCTTTCGGCATCTGGGGAATAATTTTTTGGGGTCAGAGAGTTAAAATCATCAGGCCAGTACCCAGGCAATGTTTTTTAAAAATCATCGAGCAGTACCCATGCAATGTTTTTTGGGATTGGGCGTGATTGTGATACAAATAAAACCATTCAATTTTTAAGGGCACCCTGAAAACAATTGCTCGGGCCACACACGCTTCCCGAATAGACCCCCATTGCAACTGGACGTCATGGAAGGGGCACCAAATGTGTCATTCTGTTGTTGAATTGGGGACCGGGCTGCTTGGAGTTTGTTTGTAATTCTGGTTTCACTTTACTAAAAACTTGTTTTTAAATTGAGCTTCAAAAAAATCATTATTGTTAACTTCCCTTTGGTTTAACATGAAATTTCTTGTCGAGCCAAAAACGTTTTTACATGCGGAATTCTTCTTAAGGCAAAGCCAAAATTTTAATTGTTGCAGCAGGCTTTTTATGACGAGAGTCAACACAGAAGTGGTTTGTAGAAAAATTTTTTGTGGGTGAACCATGGCTGCAGAGGATTATCTTATGCTCTAGAACTTCCTTTGTTGCATATTGACCAACTGACTATTTTAAAGATAATCATTAAAATGTTCAAGCTTGAACCCAAGGCCCGCACAGTGGACTTGCATCCATTTATGAAGCACACAGGGCATCCATCCAGAATCAGCCCCGGGATGCACGATCCTTGAATGCTTTCTGTAAAAGAATTCAGCAAAAAATTTGCCCGGGACCTTTCATTTCATGACCACGCAAGGTGTCAAACTTTAAAATAAAAAATTTTAAATTTAAAAACCGCAAGGTATCAAATTTTAAAATTAACTTGGTCCACGAAATTGTCCAAGCGGCCGATCTGCTGTTAAATCTTTAATTGGGCAGGCCATTTCATTTGTGACCTAGGCATTAAATTTATCAATTCTATAGTGGTTTGATTAAATAGTGAGTATTTAAATGGGTAAAAATAGTTCTGCATAGATGACAGTTTATGTAATTTAAGTTTAAAAAATAGTATTAATTTAAAAAATGTTCCTAATCCCCTTCAATGTGTAAATCCCATTAGTGAATTCGAATAGTTTTATTATTTGCTTAAAAGATTCCCCTTTTTCCCAATTTATTTTACCTGGTTAATTAATAATTATGTAAATAATATTAATCTTTATATTAAGAAAAAAATATGCATTGGAAAGTCTGCACTACCGGTATGCGGACCAATTTCCCCCCCAAAATATAAGAGAGAAACCACTTATTGAAGAATGGTATTAATCCAAAAAAAAAAGGGCAGAAAGTCTAGGAAATGAAAAGACCAAAACAGGTTGAGCCCCAATATGCAGCTAAAATCCCTTTTGCCCCTTTTTTAATTTTATCACATGTTTTGGTAAAATGTTCTTTTCTTTTCCCAAATTATTTTTCAGATTTTTGTTAATATTTACCCAGTAGAAAAAAATTTTTCCCAAATTTTTAAAAAAATTTAAAACTACTGTCTTTTATTAAATTTACAAAGCATAAATTTTTGTTTAATCATAAATATGTTTATCCATTAAAGATTATATTTTTAATACTATGTCATATTTGGGTTTAAAATACTTTTATTCCCAGAAATCTATTAAAATTTTTTTTAAAATTTTCCTAAAATATGTCAAAATTTAAATTAAAAGGGACTTTAAACCCTATGTTTGAAAAAGCACTTTTTTTATCATTTCAAATTTATTGGGCCCTTTTCTTTTAAAAACTGCCTTTTTTTTTATGACAATAAATTTTTACTTGTTTGCCAGTAAGTTTTATTTACATTTCAAAAAAGGGGACAAATAGATTATATAATAAACGGGTTTCCCTTCTTTTTAAAACTTTAATTTGGCATTATTTTTAATAGAGCTTACAATAAGGTTATAATATTACTGTTTTTTTGTTTATCCCCCGGGGATCGGGGGGGGGAATATATTTTTGGCTTTGGGTCCGCCGTCCGTCCCCCTTTCCGAATTTCTTTTCCGGGGAGTGGGTTTCTGAAATTTATGGCGGGAAATTCAACAAAACTTTAGGGGGAATCATCAATTCAAGAGGAGATGGCACACCCGGGACCGTCCGCCCTGTCCGTCCGTCGTCCGGCCCCGTCCAAATTTTATTTTTCGAAGTATTCTCTGCAACTACGGGGCGGGAAATTTAAACCCAAATTTTAGGGGAATACCCCTTTAAGAGGAGACCCATATCGTGGGTTGTTCCATATTTTTAACAGGTTTTTCCCCTTAAATTTTATGTATTTAATGCTATAGGAAAAAATCTTTTCCCCCGCTACTTCTCTGAATATGGGGGAAATTCAACGAATTTTTAGGGAAACCCTTCCCAATAAAAAAGGGGAGCGATCCCTGTCGGGGTTTGGTTGGCAGCCTTTTAAACTCAGGTAGGGCCCCTTTTATTAATTATCCCAAAAAGCTATGGGAAAAAATCTTTTCCAAAGATTATTTCTGAAAACAAACTGGCTAAATTTCAAAAAAATTTTATGGGAAAACCTTCAAATCCCAAGAGGAATGCGCTTTTCATGGGTTTGGCCCCGGTCAAAACCCTTTAACTAAAGATTTATGGCCCTTTTTATTTTGTAGTATGTAAAAGAGAAAAAATCGTTTCCGAAACTACTTCTCTCAACTACTGGGGGAAATTCAACAAAAACTTTAGGGGGAACTAAATTACCAAGAGGAGATCCCGCTTTATCATGGCTTTTTTTGGGTTTTCAGACATTTTAAACTCAAGATTAGGGCCCCTTTGATTAGTTTTATCCCAGTACCCATTTTGGGAAAATATTTTTTCCCTCGCAAATTTTTGGTACCCCGGTTTAAATTCAATAAAATTTTAGGGGATACAAAAGAGGAGTGTGCTTTAATAGTTCCCTTTTCCAGCCCAGATATTAAATCAAAATTTAGGCCCGTGATTATTTAGTTTGCATACTTTCTTTTTGGGCTTTTCCCAGATTTTACTATTTAACAAAATTTTATGGCTTTTTTTCCCTGAATTTTAAATTTCCCAAAAATATTATTTTTATGCCTGTTTAAATATATAAAAAACCCTTTTATTCTTCAGTTGTTGGGTTAATTTAAATAACCATACTCGGCGGGGGATATTAAATTCAACGAATTTGCTTTTTTATCTCACCTTTCATTACCATTTATCTGTATTATTTCTTTCTTTTGATAACATTAAAAAGAAGGCCAGGTGGTTTATTTAAAAGCGGGCAACATTTGCGAATGAGTTGAATTTTGGTTCCCGAGGCAACAGTTTGGGCGTTCCCGGGGGGGGCGTATGTAGAACTCGTGTCGGATTTCTTGGCGGAATCTACCCTGATCCAACATGGAATAGTTGAGGATAACGCTCGTTTTATAATGGGGTTCAATTTTTTCTATTTCCTATGCCTAATTAAATTTTTTTTAAAAAAACCTACATTGCTTGTTTCGTTTTATATAAACCTTTGCATTACATGACTTCCCTTCATAATAATACTGTTTTAATTATAAGTGTTTTTAAATT